ACCTCTTTCAATGTAGTGACTTGTTTGTTTTATTTTTCAAATATAACATTCTTTTCGACACGGCTATCCTCACCAACAAGTTGAGCCTTTAATTCAATAACAATGTACTATCATCATACCCCTTTTGTAGCTTTTCCTTGAAGATGATATAAATTATATCGAAATATTGGAATAACTTACAGCAGGCCAAAACAGTGTACCTACTCTTATAACACAGATTCCAAGCGTTCAACAATCTGTATGATAATCATCAGGGATTTTACAATATGAACAAGGAAACGTATCAGATCTATAAAAGGAAATCTGTCAACAACACATGAGGTTTGGCGGCGGGATCATAACCTTATGGACACAACATACAAAGGTGTATTGACTAAAATTAATATTTGGCAACAGGGCAATGGTTCGGGTTACAAATCATATATTTGTTGGACGTTAAAAAAAACTTGAACTTTGTCATTGGCTGGGATTACACATGTACGAATCAATTACATGTCATATGTCAACCTCAAAATTTGATATTTCAACATGGTCGTCTTCAAGGAGCAACAGGTGGTTTTTCTTTCAATTTGTTGTAATTTTTATTAATGGAATTATATCTACTTACCTAGAAATAATATTATATGGTAATTACTATTTCTTGAAATATGTCTGTTAACCTAGAATCACCATTAGATAGCAGGTACCTAATTCTTTTATGTTACTAGATACTGCTATATAAAATACAGTTACATACAGATACATAATAGTCTGCTGTACCAGTTCGACTGAGGAAGCTGTTCTGTAGCGAAACACGTCTTTGGTGAAAATTGTTTCATCATCATATTTGAGTAATAAATGTTAGAACTCATTTAGAAGTAATATTCATTCAGGAATAACTGTGATTGAAATAATTAATCTCTCGATGGAGAGAGGTATAATGAACTCATATGAAGAATTCAACCATTTTTAAATTATTGAATTCAATTTGAATTTCTGTAGTAATGATACGTGACGACTTCAAAGCATACCAATGAAAAAAGAGCACTTCCTCTCTTTTGAGCGCATTGACTGCGCTGCCGTGCTCGAATAATTACGCGTATTAAAAACCTCATAATCCACCTATACTTTGACATTCCAGTTTTCAGTGTATGTTTCATTTATTTGACTTATGTAGGAATTTTACTATACGCATTTTCATTTTTGAAGTGATAACTTCTTATGGGAGGGTTAACCGCTTCGTTACCTAACGCCTAACGGCACCATTTTGTTTAATCCCTAAAATTCATACTCCAACTCGTGGTAAAAATTGTTTAGACAACATTTGTGTTGATTCAAAGGAGAGCACTTACAACTGCAAAAACTTTACTAGTAACATAAGTGACCATAAGTTTTGCCAGATATTGAGTATCAATATTGAATCACATCACAAAAATACCAGGCTGACTTACGAATACTCCAATTCCACCGGTGACGACGGAATAAGTACGAATATACTGAAAAAAATGCATAAATTTCATAGCTGAACCTCTTACCTACTTTATCAACCGCCTCTTGGAAGAGGGGATTTTTCCTGAGTACCTGAAGATTTCGAAAATTGTGCCAATTCATAAAAAGGGAAATGACACTGACATACAAAATTTTAGACCAATTTCCCTCATTAGCCCATTCTCAAAAGTAGGTATATGAAAAATATGTTTCAAGCCTAATGATGTTTTTTAATAAATGTGGTCTATTTAATGTGAAACAGTTTGGTTTTCGCAAGGGATTGTCCACAATTCACGCGATTACACAGTTCCTCAACAACGTGTACAGGGAGTTGGATGCAGGTAAAAAGGCGCTAGAAATTTTCATAGACTTAAGTAAGACATTTGATCTGGTAGATCACAAAATTTTCCTAACAAAGCTTGAAATGTATGGAATCAGGAAAATAACACACAAATAGTTTGAAAGTTACTAAGAGGGTAGATAATACTATGTAGAGGTTAACAGAAATGAATCAGAATCAAAAAATTGTTACTCGGGGTTCCTCAGGGATCTATATTAGGTCCACACTTACATATAATATATGTAAATGATTTTTAAAGTGATCAGTTCGTTATGTACGCTGATGACACATCTTTATTGATAACTCAGGAAAATATTAAAGTCACAGTTAATAAAACATCTGATGAAATAAAAAGAACCCAAAAGTGGTTCTCAGACAATGGTCTCTTGTTAAATGAAAGAAAAACTATGCTTTTACGTTTTAATCATTCAAGAAGCACTCCAGATTACAATTTACTAGTAACGTCAATTAATCTATCAGTTCAACAACAAGAGGAAATAAAATTTTCGGTTTTGAAGATAACAGAAAATCTCAAATGGAACAAGCATATTGATACGATTTGTAAAAAGATATCCTCAATATCTTATCGTATTCAACAACTACGCTGGAATGTAAATAGATCACTATTATTAATGTACTACTATACATACTTTCATTGTAACATTTCCTATGGTATTATAGCTTAAGGAGCCGTTAAGTGATTGTTCCAGAATTCTCAAAATTCAAAAAAGAATCATAAGGTACACAGCAGGAGTTACTAGAAGGACAAGTTGCAAACTCATCTTCCAAAATCTTAGAATATTGACTGTTACAAGTAGGTATATATTTTTATATATATTAAAATATGTAAAATCGCATATAGCCAGTTTTTTTACTCTTAATGGCAATAAGAATTATAATACTAGAAATTCCCTACAGTTGGAAGTGCCAACACAGATTAGTTGTATCTGAATCATGTCCCAGGCTTATGGCCATTAAATTGTACAATCAACTTCCAAATTCAATAAATATCTGGCTCTAAAACATTATAACAATCAAATAGAAGAGTTGCTCCTGGATGAATCCCATTATTCTCTCAAAGAATATATGGATGATAACTTATGATCCTGTGCATGTGTAACATTTTAGGAAGATTTTAATAACGATGCTGTTACATAAAAAACGTATTATTTTTGGTTTTGACTATTATATGTTATGTACATGTCCAACATTTCAAACCGATTCCAATAACGATGCTGTTGCATAAATAGCAGATTATTTTAGGCTTTGACTATTATATATTATATCATATCATATTATGTATGTAAATTGTATATTGTGCCTCTAAGTGCACGGAGTTTGTATTTTTAATTTTGTATTTGTTCACGTTTTGACATACTCAATGTCATCTATACATGATACAACTGAATAATTATTATTATTATTGGTATAGCTTCTCTTATTCTCACGCATACGTCAGCGAAAGGCAGGCTCCTTCTCTCTGTCGGACAGACGGAGCGGAGACATGTATTGTTGACAGTATTATCTAAAATCTAACCAGCAAGCACATAACAGTTTTTATAGCGTGAAACGTGATTCACATGTGTATGTACATTATTAGTATCATTATTTAATCCTACAAAAGTAACAATTGGTTTATGGTAGCCATAACATAAGTACATACCCAAAAGAGCCAATAAAAGATTCCAATAATAAATAACCTATCCTTGCATAATGATATACATAAAATTTAAGAAATAACCTAAGGTTTTCTCAAGGTAAACAATTTCAATATCAAATAGTTCNAATTCGATCTAGAAATGCCCTTTTTCAAATAAAAAAAAAGTTGAATTTGACTTTACAACGCGCTAGTTACGACATGGACATATCGCCGCTGAAGACAGTATTTAAGGACAAAACACAAGCACTATAAGAAAATCCTTAAGGCACTCTTAGAGCGGTGCCTGTGCGAAAGTCGCGATTCACATTGGATTTGAAAATTACATGAAATATTTTTCTTTATTATTGAATATCAATTTGAAGATTTGAACGAATGAAAGTGTCTGAACAGTTCAATGAATAGAGTCCCGTCAGTAAAAAGATCTTAATTTTTCAAATATTTTACAATGTTTCCTTCCATAAACGGCAACCAATCTGCCTTCTTATATTTGACAGTTTCCGATGTTGAATATAGTTCTCTAGGTCTACGAGATGACTATTTACACTATATTTGTGGTGGAACAAACCTGCAGTGTTCCACACTGCAGTTTTGAATCGCTTCTTGGTTGTTATATCCACCCAATAAAGACCATTATTATTTTTATTATTATTTCTATTACTATCAAACATTTCCTTTTATTGAGTGTACCACATGTATAAATATTTTCTATTGATTGAATACAAACGGTGGTTTGGTGGTAGTTGATAGTGAAAGATTTTGTTGACGATTCATAATAATGAAACCAAAAAACTACTTTCAAATTTTTTTTACATTTTTCAAAGAAGAAAAATTACCCCGAATTACAATTTGAATAATTCTGTTGTAGTGTTGATGGTAGGTATACTGAAAAAACGAATGAGAATGGAACCCATACATTTCAATTCGAAAGTGGAAAGCAATTAAATCATTCGATAATACTTAAACATTTTCCAATGTGAAATAAAATGTAAAAAGCAATTTTTCTCAATACAAAACTCCAAAGTCCCTTGGAGTGCCAGCTATCCACCCAAAATTTTCAAATTCATTGATCGCTTTAAACAGAGATTAATGGAATGTTGGCAGTACAAACTAAATAGAAAAAAGCGTTTTTTTTGTATATTTCAATGTACATAAAAAATTTATTTTTCCTTTTTCTTTCTTTTTTCTTTCGTGCAATTCAATGTTTATATGAAAGTAGTTGTTTCGGGAAAGCTTGTTTATCCAGCTTACTGAAATTTACTTCTTTCCATGAATTACACATTTTTGCACACAGTTTGTTTTGAAATTAGTTCCTTTCTTCTCTGAAAATATACCTCTCTCAATTCAAACAAGATTCTTATGCCTGGGATTAAATCAAATAAACCAATGAATGTCTTTACAAAATGTCATCGATGACATGAGCAGATTCAACTCATTCGTGACATAAAGTCGTGATTGAATTGAGTGCTTAGTCTCTCCTAGAGATATACTCCTTCCAATTTAGATAACAGATGTTGATGTAATCATTTGTTGCAGGCAGAAGGACCTCCAGTTCAAATGGAACCAGTAGATTTAAGCATCAAAACGCCAGTAGTTCTACAAGTACCTAAATATCCACCACAGAGGTTGAGAAATCCTCCACCTGCTGTCAAAATACAACAACCACCAGGTGAGTGAGATTGGGAATTCTGAAATGTATTATCGTTGTTGCCAAATGTGGCCAACAAATGAAGCTGTAACTTACTGCTATCGAGACCCCAACTGCAACGTTTTTTCCAAATGGCATCTTACGTTGCACTATTTCATTCTTTCATTCTGGATGTATCTAGCACCGTCTCCACCTTTTCTGGAAGAATCGAAATGATTATGAAATAGCCGGATTGGAATCAAATCGGCAGACGAAGAAAAAAAGAACTCATTAGCGAAGATGTCACAATTATCATTTACTGGGTATTCGAAAAAGCTCTCAACACTCGCACCTAATAAATATATTGACTTATAGAGAATTCTCGTGAAGGGACATATTATGTAGAGGGCAGAGATTGAATACCTACTGTATATGCAAGATATGCAAGCAATAATAAATTGAAACTCAATGTGGAGAAATGTAAAGTAGTGAGTTATAGTCGAAAAAAAGATGTAATGAGATCAAAGACCTAGGGGTAATATCCGATCATAAATTAACATTTGGTAGACATATTTCACAAAAAGTTTCAGAATCTCTCAGAGCTTATGGTTTCATTGTTAGAAATTGCAGAAACTTTCATAATATTAAAGCCATGAAGCTATTGTATTTCACCTACATACGTTCGAAGATAGAATATGCAAGTATCGTCTGGAGTCCATTCTATGAGATTCATAACATAGCCATTGAGAGAGTTCAAAGACATTTTTAGAATAGATGGTTCTTACCCTGAGAGAGGCATCAGCAGTGATGTCATATATGAACGTTTGGAACTTTTTAGTTTGGTGTATCGCAGAAAATGTGCGTCGCTCATATTTTTATTCAAGTTAGTGAATGAGAGGGTTGACTGTCCTTAAATTCTTGAACAAATTAACTTCAATGTACCACGACCAACTTCCCGATCTCAGTCCATTTTTAGACCTCTCAGAGCAAGAACTAACATTATGCTCAATTCCCCAATATATGTTATGAGCACAAATTTCAATAGCATTTGTGCCCTTGGTAATTTATTCTTCACTAACCTTCATAACATTATTAGAATTGCTAACGTGTACTTGAAGTAGGTAATTAGAATTTGTTTTTCTTTTTTGTTCATTTTATTTTTCGTATATGGTTAAGTATTGTGAATAAAATTTTATATTGCCCTGTAAATGGGTAACTGTTGGACAATAAAGCTATTATTATTATTAAAGCTATTATTATCATAAGTAGAGCCCAATGTGTATATCTCCATTTATTCGACTTTGGTTGCAAGTTGTATTGAAAATACATGATTTCTGAAATGTAACATAAATTTTCATATTTGAGTATACAGTACGAAACTTTTAGAATGTGACAGATTAATATATTCATTTTATGTACTAAATTTTACTTCACCACTGGACGTAATTGGAAATCTATCATGTATAATTATTTTACAAGAATGAAACAAACCTTTTATAAAGGTTCAAAGAAAATAGCATCTCATTTTTTATCATAAACGAATTGATATAAATCAGATATCCAAAATTTAGCTTACCACAATAAATTATTGAAAACAGCTCCCAAATCGGAAAGGACATTTTTGAGATTATAACGCGTGTCATCGCACAAACATTCCAGAATATAGATTTTAGTAAATATCTTTCAGGTATAGTCGAAGTAACTGATATAGTGCATATTTAAAGCTATCGGCGAGCTCAAAAGCCAAAAATCAATACAAAGAAATAAAGCCGCTGCCGAATAGTCCACGTGGACTGTAGATTTGGCGGTTCGTAGTGGATGATATTTGCTAACCGAGTTTTATAATTGGCTGAAGAGTCATAAAATTAAATTTGAAGTCATGTTACGATGACGAATAGAATGCGAGCCGTCGTGTTGTCAATGTTTAGTTCAGATAATTCGTGACTGGATATATTATATGAAGAACAGTATTTTGAGGTTGCAGTCAGGTTTTGAGAGCTATTTAAAGAAAACTGTTTTTGTCAACCTTTCGGTAGTGTTTACCACCTTCCTCAGGACAACTGTAATATATTCATTAAAAATATGTTTTAAATCACAAACGGAACTACTTACTAACGTGAGATGGGGAAAGAAAATAAGTATCTCTATAAAACATGAAACATTCCTTTTTTTGATGGAAGTGACTGACAGTGACAATAATTTTGAGGAGGAAAATTTTGATTAGAAGTGATTTTTTCTTTTTGATATTTGAGAATGTAAGTATTCATAGATTTATCATCATTATCAATGTGTACCATTTCCAGAAAAACTTTTTTTTCTGCACTTGCCACTTTCTTGAGTGCTCTGTCCGATTATTAACTTATATTTCTATATCAAGACACTCAATAACTTTCATATTTGTATAATTTCCTGAACCCGGATGTTACGCAGGTAGCTATTGCTGCTTCCGTGGTGATTTTGATAGTTTTCTTGTAAACACAAGATCTATCAACTGAAACCACAAATGTGTGGTTGGCTCCTGCTGGTGGCTCCGTGCATTTGTATTTCTATTTTTTGGTAACCAAGTGTTGCCCATCCTTACACTTGGCTGCACCATATTGATGATGGGCTAAAAGCCTGAAACACGTGTCTATGGTTTGCCACTTTCTTGACTGCTATGTCCGATTATCAACTTCTATTTCTATATCAAGACACTCAATATCCTTTGTGTTGGATTTTCTCGCAACACGCCATACAGAACAAAAATAACTTTCCCCCACCAGAGAACATGAAACTCATAGAACAAGTCAATAAAGGAAACCGTATGGACATCTGGGAAAACTTAAACATCCATAAACTTAATAGTCATAAATCACTTATCGAGGAACAAAAACAAATCAAAACACAACAAGACCTAACATTCAATATACTTCACTAAACGATACACACTTATAGAAACAGTAAACCTAGAGAAAATCCAACACAAAGGATATTACCTGATGTAACCCAAATGCAGACAAATTTACCTACAGTACCTGCAGTACCACTAAGACGTTATGACCGCAAAAAAGAACAAACAAGAGGATGAAACGTTCAGTTTGAGAAGAGCATTGGAGATGATAGCATGACCAGCTGTCGAAAAGTCATATATAATAAATAGAAGGTATAAAGCTCCAAATCCTTTTTGTGACATATGTTAATATTAATATATGCTGAGAATGCTTCAAGCACTGAACTTGGACTGGATGTGGCTTATACAGGTTGGTTTTATTATACTTGCATTCAATTACTATTATTCAATATTATTATATATGATTTTCTAACTTTTCTATTGAATTTNAATAAATTAAGGTTGTTATACCTGTCTGGTTTATCTGTATGGGATACCTATATAGCATAAATAGGGTTAGCTCGCATTAGTTTCTAGTTTTAATCTTCCTCTTTGAAGATGATCACTTGGTGATTGAAACACGTGTCGAGGTGTTAAAAATAACGATTTGGTGTTGGGAAAAACTCCAGTAAAATTCATTACTACACCAAAGGTTCCAAACAGTGCATCATAAGTATAAAAATTTTTCACAAGCATCATCCGATGTCCGTAGCTAGGGAAATGGTTCACAACAATAATATTCAAACTTTTCATCATTTCTAAATATTCACAACAAGTTTATGAAGTCTCTTCCAATTTTATTTAACAGATATCATTTTGTTTCCATTTGACAATAATTTAAAACTTCTGCCGGAATTTGGTACACAAATTTTAAATGTCCCACTCTTTTGTATTGTTTCCTGGCAATAATGTGAACTTATTAAAAATTTCACCAGCTAGATATTCATAAGATCTTTGGCCTATTGTTTTTTTAACCAGATTTGTTTGTACTATATTTTGAGTTTTACTGCGGGTATCATAGCTGTGTTCTGTTTGTTGCAGAATATGTTTGTTGTTGTAAGTATACATGATTATATTATGCACATATTTTTTTCGAGACTCTAAAATGTTTGTTTCATTGAATAAATCGTTTGTTGGGTATGTATTTTTTTTGTTATAAATCATTTTTAATATCTTCCTTTGCTAATATTCATTATTACTGACTAGTCAGACTTACAGCTCTTATAAACACCGGTGATTATCATTTGAAGGAGCGGAGCGCCTCCCATTTGTTTGTGAAAAACGCCCTGTATATCTTAGGAAATACGCCTGCAGCCAATATCACTCCCAGCACCCTATTGATCTCGGCACTCAGCGTGTTTTAATATCATTTTCACAGCGTGAAGTCTCCGCCGAGATTTGCGAGCCGGCAATCTATTTCTCTCTGCTATTATTTATAGATTAATGACTAGGCAAGGAACAATGTTCGTTTGGGCCATTACTCACGACCCGGTGCACGGCGAGGTGGTGCGTAACACCGGCAGCCAGCAAACAACAACCAAGTAGGCGATGGTTCCCACGATATTGAACTAGCCGCGTTTCTTTGCGAGTTCTCCTCGTCTACGGCCACCACGATTTCCTGGTTCTTGGCGAAATATCGAGATCCGTGAGCCAAGTGGGTCATACTTTGATCACGTGAATTTTTGAATCTGAATTAGTGATTCTAGGAATGCATAATTAATATTTTGGTTTTCATTACTGCTTCATATCTAGAAGACGGAAGTGAGGCAAAAGCATTTTTGACACGCTTCCATTAACATTAACACGCTTTTATTAGCTTCACCTGTATGTATGTTGTTCGTCAGTTTTTTTGTTGGTAACTCTCCTTTTCATTTCATATTCCTTCCCGTTTGAACGCTCGGGATCTGTATTTGACAGAATTATCGACATTATTGCTTGATCTATTCGCGGGCAGATGGCTGTACGTAACTTCCTTGATATAATTGGTACTCACTTTACATGTATTTTTTTACCTGATTAAGATGAATATGACTATTGTGTGTATGTATTTCTTCATTTGGAAAGAGTAAAGTCCAAGAGTGGGCTCCAATAAAGTCCAATGACTTTATTGGACCCCACGGGACATATTTCGATGTATCCTTTCCGAAGCTCTGGTCTATCAGATATATTCCTC